TGCACCTTGTTTAGTTCTCTCACCTTTGATTGGGTGTGGTGCTTGTCCTTAATTGCACTCACCTGTCACACGTTATATAAGGACTGCATTCACTTTCAGCTCACTCTTTCTTCACTCCCACACGGGGGGCAGCAGAAGTGAGGTTCTGTTCGGGGGTTTTGATTTTGAGAATGAAAGGAGAACCCTGTGAATGATTGATGACTGCTTATTCTCATTCTAATCGGATGAGCCCATGATGATGACTACTTAAACCCTGAGCCTTCCTTCCTTCATAACACCTTTATATCTGAACACATTCATGGTGTCAGAAATAAAGCATGTGATCATTGCAGAGCAACATTTACTACACAGCCATGTGCTTCAAGATGCACACAAACCAGACTGTGGGAAAGTGCAGTTACTGCTGAAAGACAGTTCATCGCTCATTCTTGAGCTCAGCTTGAACTTGAAATTTCAGATATGCGTTTATTTAATAACAGTAAGAAGCTTCCCAGTCTGAAAACTGGAACTATCCTGTGAATACAGCGAGCTCCAGGGTCGTGTTTCTCCTGCAGTGAGCGTGATCTCAGCCTGAGCTTATTCAGACACTGATTCCTCTAAAGACATCAGCTCTGAGCGGTATTTGCAATAACAACCTGAGGCATTCATGAGGGAGGGATTTTTATAGGATGTGTATTCAGTTATGGTCAGGTGACTGGAGTGTTTAGTGCAGAGACTGAACATATTCAAAAAACAAAACGGTGACAATTGCTCTTTTTCGTCACATGCGAAGTTCAGACTGACTCATTAAAAAATAGTTTTAAATTATGCATTTATGGTTGGAAGGGCAGATAGATGATCTGTTAAAGGACTGCACCTTTCTGTTCACATCCTCAAAGACACTGATACAACGTCATCTTAAATGTTTTGTTGTTCTTACTTTTAGGTTTGATTTGACTTCATTTAACCACAGTACAAAAATCAAATAAAAGTAAACTCAAGCAAGCTAAACACTGGTGTGAGTCTTTAATGGTCCCAAAGTACTAAAAGAAAATATAAAGAGGAAAAATAAGTGTTTATTTTGTGACTTATACCTCATATAAGGTTTTGTTTGATGAGGCTAAGACTGTTTAATGAATGACTGGTAAACTTTGAACAAGAAATCTGGTGCAAACTGCAGAGAGAAACTGTAACTTAGTTCAGTATAATTAACAGCCAGCTCCCACCCATTATTCACCCCCCCTGGAACCTGATACAGAAGACTCTCATTCACAGTTCAGTCCGTTCACCCCTGTTTGTGCCTCTTGTCAGTGCAGTCAAGAGCTGTTCTCCAAATGGATGTGTTTGCAGTTCCAGGCAACAGGCATAAAGGATGGTACCTTTCTTTAATGGCTCCAAATACAAAAGGTCCAGAGTTCGCCTGGCTGGACCCGTCCAGACTTTACTGCAACTCCCAGGTATGTCGAGAGAAAAGAAATGCTGCTAAAACTATTCGCTGAGCATGACAAACCCCACCTCTAACTGCACAAATACACATGCAGTCTCTCTTATCATGTGCACATTCATCATTTTATGCTTTTTTCCCCTCTTTGCACTCGATCCAGGCTCTTGCAGACTGTGCCAAAGACCTTCTCAGTCCTTTCCAAAGTGACAACATTGACTTGGTTGCTGGCATAGATGCAATGGGATTCATTCTTGGTAAGAAAGCAAAGAACTTCACGTTTAGAGGTAAAATACAGGGCGAGTTCAGAGAAACTAAACTCAAGAGTAATTTTTTATTTTAAGACGTTGTCAGTGTGTACATTACGTAGGTCGGGAAACCTGACCCTTCAGGCAAAGATACTAAATTTAGAAAAACTCTGCCTCTAACACATGGCATGGCAATGTGAAGCTTCTTTTCTCGCTCTGTCGGTGTGAATGAACGTTACTGATGTTGTCTTTTCAGGGGCTTCTGTTGCCACCGCTCTTGGAAAAGGTTTCCTGGCTGTTCGCAAAGCAGGTCACCTATGTGTCCCCACCCAAGGCCAAAGCTACACAGACTACACAGGCAGGGAAAAGACTATGGAAGTAAGACTGGATGTGCTAAGACCAGGTTAATATTTCTTTTTACCCTTAAATCCTGTTATATAATTTACTGAGAAAGATGTTTGGGCAGTTTGTGGATGAGAAGGTTGATAAATGACTGATTTCAGCTCTTACATTTCTAAAAATATGACAAAATCATTTAATTATTTATTTTGTCAAAGCCCAGTCTTTCTTTCTCCAAACTCCCCTGTCTTTCTTCTAGCACAGCACCATCTGTTGTCAGCTGAAGCAACTGATATTGAACAAATACCAGCTGTCATAACAAAGATGAATGCAGAAAACTATAAAACTGGTGTAAAGGCCTTTGTCCAGAGAGACGTAGAAAAAGTGATCAGATGAGTTATCCTTCACAATATTCTCAACGACAGGGCGAACGTGTGTAACGAGCACGCAGAGAATAGCACAGGCCTGAATGTTTGTTTCATTGTAAATCAATGAAAATATGCCCTAAATCAGGGGTGTCCAACTCCAGGCCTCAAGGGCCGGTGTCCTGCAGGTTTTAGACCTCACCCTGGGTCAACACACCTGAATGAAATGATTAGTTCATTACCAGGCTTCTGGAGAACTTCAAGACATGCTGAAGAGGTAATTTTGCCATTTCAATCAGCAGTGTTGGATCATGGACACATCTCAAACCTGCAGGAGGCTTGGAGTTCTCCACCCCTACCCTAAATCATCGCATGATTAAACATTTCTTGACAGGAATGATGTCTGGCAGGATGACACAATGACAGATCATTGAACAGCTAAAAACGATGTGAGCCACATGCGATGGCCTTCACATATTACAGACGGAAGATTCTGGATAATGTGTCAGAATTCATCATAACACTGAATGAGGGAAAAGCTTCATTAAAACTGCCAAGAAACACTGAAGCTGTTCAAGTAGCTCAACACCTGACTAAGATGCTTTATTTCCTGTAGAGGAATGTCTTCTGAAGGTCCTGCCTGGGTCACTGCACCATCTCCTGGTACAATCTGGTATTGCATAACATGCGTAGGCCAGTTTAGGACATGAAACCACAGATGTTGGTTCTTCAGAATCTGTTGGCAGCCTGGATTCATTTTTAAACATCAATTTGCAATACGTACATTTAAAGAAGAATCAAGTCTCACAAATTCCTACAATTTCTACTTTCTACATCCGCTCCAGCACAAACACAGTCTGGTGTGACTGTATAAACCGGTGAATGGAGATCCACAACGTTAGGGAAATGAGTATTCTCTTAATCTGAGATTTGAAAACAAAATACTAGAAGCCCCTAGAACAACATTAATGGGAAACTTATGCATTAAAATATAACTGTTTATTGTCAGCATTTGTTTTTGTTTCTTTTAAAAACACAAGATGTACCATTTTCTTTTAATACTTGTCCTTGTAAACAAAAAGAGTTAAAGAAGAAAGACTGAAGGAGACATTAACAGTCGACATGTGTGTCCCCACCGCAGGTTCGAGGGTGTTGTTAGTGGACCAGTGGATAGAGACTGGAGGCACAATGAAGGCTGCCATTCAGCTGGTAGAGAAACTGGGAGCCACAGTTGTAGGTTTGTCAGTCAATAAGTTAACAGTTACAGTGCTGTGCAAAAGTCTTGAATTACCCTTCTTTATATTTTGTTAGGAAAATGTAAAAAAAGATGCAAAAATTCATTGGAATGTGGAAATCAAGGATATAAGGCAAAAACTGAGTTTCTTCTAAATCCTTAAAGTAGTCTTCAGGAATAGTTTTTCTTGCTCTGTTCTCTGTCAATACGACCCCACATTATGGAAATAATCGACCATAACTGTGTTTTTCTAACTAGGTATGCTTTTACTGCGCTGTTTTGTCAACAAAAAAAAAGAAGAAAAATGAAGCCAGATCCATCTTCCACAGGGCATTAGCCACTGATATTCAGTCCAATCCTTGTATAATTTGGCATTCTTCAGCCTTTTCACTCAATTTCCCATCCTCAAGAATAGTTTCTTCCACTGAGACCATTTCTGATGAGGCTTCAGTGAACAGGAGATGTATCTGAAGGGCCAGATGCATCTCAAGTCCTGCATCAGATCTTTGTTGGATTTGTTTGTTTCTTAAGGACATAGGACTTGAGGACACTTTCAGATACTGCTTATCTACTTTAAAACGTTTTGAAATCAACCACTTTTTCTTTTGTGCCCTACTTTTCCAGTTTGGTCAAAGACACACTTGTCCAAGATATGCTAACTTTTCAGCAAATAGCTCTTTGGCAATCACCGTGTTGGTGCAAAAGAAAAGCAGCCAAAGAAAAACTTTGAAAGATTTCCAGAAAAGCCTGGAGAACTACTGACTGGTTTAAAAACAGAGGTCGGTGCGCTTGGAAGCAAAACATAAAGAAGCAAGGGGTTGTTCAAGACTTTTGCAAAGTAATGTATTATATAATAACCGAATGACTCCCAACACTTGATTGTAAACATCTCACTCTGCAGGCGTCGCAGCTGTGGCCATCGAGAACACCGAAGGAGGAAGGTGGATTAAGGAAAACTACAAATTCTCTCACTGCATACCCGAAGAGCTGCAGAGCCAAATTGATGGAAAATACCTCGACTCCTTCAAAAGCTTCAACAACTGAACAAGTTAACGTGATTCCTTAAAGGTTCAGCAAAGAAGGCAAAGCACAGAAATTTTATAATACATGTATAGATATATTTTTTAGGAAATACAGTGAACTCATAGAATAGCTGGCTTTTTTTTTAGATTTATTCTATTTTAAATAACCGAAACAATTTCTATTCTATTGTTTAATGTCCTAACAACATGTAAAGCTCACCATGGGAAAATGAAAAATATGAAAACCACATTAGTTTTGATACTGACCATAAAAGTCTGTGATAAATTTGATTGTAAACAGAAAAAATATACCTTTCAAGTATCTTCATTACAAATATGGCTCCCAGTCTTTGGTCTGGGACCTCAGCGTGCGATGGATAAACGGAGAAGATGATGAACAAGATATAAAAACAAGAACAAATTTTCTTTTTAGCCTCTAACAAATATAACTGGTCACTTAAATGCAATGAAAAAAAAAAAAGAAGAGCCAAAAAAACAAATTCAACACGAGCAGAATATGACTGTTAAAATAAACTACAGCAGCAACAAGATTTAAGATTGAATTGAAGCCCTAAGTGAAACAAGACTCTGGCATTTTCTGGCAGGACGGGAACATTTTGTGTGTAATTCCTGTGTCACTCCACAAGAATCTGCACACACATCCCGTGGAGGAAAAAGCTTTCTAGGCCAGGAAAAACTGAAATTAAAACATGTCAGGAAGGGAAACATCTGAATCCCTCCTCCCTCCCCGACCACAGAAATCCTTCCCGCTGAGCTGGACGGCAGCCGTGGTCATTTTCCACTCAGAAAACTCCTCGCTTTCAGTCCGTACCATCGATTTTAACCTCCTGCTCCCATCCTTACTGACAGCAGTTGGACTGTTTCTTCTTCGATGCAGCGTACAGATTGTTAGAATTGCTGTTAATCCCTGAAAGCAAAGCTTAGTTTTAAAGCGTGCGACAACTACTTTTGTGATTTGGGATTGTCTGGATACTCACTGACAACATCTCCGATTTGCCTTGATCCGCTTTTCTCCAGCTCAGCAAGAACGTTGGTCTCAAACGCTAATGATGCAACCCGAAAGAAAAACTCTCTCACGTTTTCCCCTGCAGCAGATACAGAGAGCATCTGTCAGGGCCTGTGTGAAAACTACTGCTGGGGGACTTTATATTTAAACAGGCTTAAGGAGAAGCACTGGAGGTCTATAAAGAAACTAAAGCTAGCTCAATAGGCTTTGGACAAGTAAATCTTTTTATTTTTTTCTGTAGTTTTGTCTCTGTGCATCGTAGGATTTAAATCAAACAATCAAAATGACAGTCAAATGCAGACCTTTAGCTTTTATTTAGGTGGTTTTAAAAACTATGCATCAACTGTCCATGAATGACAGTGAACCTATGCAAAGCTGCTGGTTTTCAGAGAATCAAAAGCTACCTGACAAACCAACATGACTTTGAATACAGGGATTGTTTTTCCTTTGCAGTCTATGACTGAAAGCATAGATCTCATTCTTCCAGGCTTTTACTGCTGCCCTCTGTTGGTGCTCGTTTCAGGGTCTCTGCCTTCAGATCAGGCGATTGACTCCTGGTACTGAAGGACATACCACTCAGAAACTCATGGTTTGCTTCTGCAGTATGCTTTGGCTCATTATCCAATTGCACTGAGGTGTTTGGGTGAATCTGAGCACAGAGTAAAGCCCTGTACACTTCAGAATTCATCCTGCAACTTCTATGAGCAGCCACATCATCATACGTGCACATGCCGTAACACTGCCTCTACTGTGTCTGATGGATGAAGTGGCACACTTCAAATCATGAGCTGTTTCTGTTTCTCCATACCTGTCTCTTACCAGCATTCAGGTACAAGTTTATCTTGATTTCAGCTGTCTGAAGATTATTTTTCAGAGCTCTGCAGGCTGTTTTGGATGTTTTCTGGCAAAATCTAATCTGGACTTCTTGTTCTTGAGAGTAATCAGTGGGTTCCATCTTGAAATGAACCCACACTCCTCGAGTGTTCTTGACCTGGTTAGATGTTGTCAAGTTGTTTTTCATAAACAAGGACAAAGTTTGCAAGCATCTACTTTAGTTGTCTTCTGTGGATTTTCAGGCCTTCTAGTGATGCTGAGCTTTCCAGTGCATTCGACTTGGCCACTGCTAAAGCTTTTGTTCTCTCTGAATATTTTCTGGTAATAAACAGCAACAAACACATTTTTTAATCTTTCTAGATTACAGTAGCTGTTATTCAAGCAGTGTAATACAGACTTAGGTGCAAATTTGGTAACTCTGGAACTGAACACTTTGCATTTACTACCAAAATATTTTCATGTAAACAATCGACTGCAGCTTCTTTCCCTGAGGAACAGTGTAAACAAAAACCAAAAGCTATTCTGGCTGAAGCTATAGAAATATTTTTCATCTCTAACACCTTTTGGAGGCAACCGGGCAACCGCTTTACTTGTATTAAAATCCAAACGCTCACCTGTCAGCGATGAAACCGCCCAATACTCAGCTCGGATCTCGTTTGCTAGTTTGAGGGCATCTTGTTCGATCTGGGAATACTGAGCAGGTGACTGTGAGACAAACCAGAGCATACAACACATTAGCAATAAGAAAACAAACACAACTGTTTATTTTATTGTATCATGTTTACTGACTAACTCATAAAAACGATGTCTTCCTAGCAACCGAGCTAGCTTAAGTACGGCTGTTTAAATACATAATGTCTTAGAAACGTTCCTGTGTGTGATTTCCACCTCGGTCACAACCACTTTAGGGTGTAGTAAAGGAGGAGAAACATTCCTGAGGTTCGAGCTTGGATACGCTTTGTGCTCCTGGCACCTATCCAAGCATTCACATTTGACTCCAGTATATACAACAGAAATGTCCGCAGGCACGTCCACTTTAAACAGTAAAAGACGTACGCTGAGGTCCTTCTTGGTGCCCACGAGGAACAGCTGAACAGCGGTGGGGTCGTTCTCTTTCAAAGCGTCTTCGAGCCACTGCCTTTAGATGGGAAAAGACTGCATTAACTCCACCAGCTGGGACAACAATGAGATAAAGGCACACAAATGTTATTCTTATATTATATATTTACCTTACATGGCCCAGAGAGGCAATGTCATTTAGATCAAACACGATTATAACAACTGGAAGAGAAGAAGAGATCATTTTACTGCGTTAGCAGCTGGGAATGCGACTGATATTTTATTCCTTGGAAACAGTGTTTTAAACGGAGAGACTGATGGAAACTTACCCTGGGCTCCTCTGTAGTATGTAGAAGCAATGCACTTGAACCTCTCTTGGCCTGCGGTGTCCCACCTTTAACACACAGAGAGCGGCTGACGAGCATAATCAGAGTGACTTTTTTGTATTAATGCATTACATTTTCCGGATCAGACTTACAGCTGCAGGCTGAAAGGAACACCCAGCACCTCGAAGCGCTCCATCTCAAAGTCAACACCGATTGTTGCTTTGTAGTTCTTGTCAAAGGTATCCTTGCAAAACCTTAAAAAAAACAAAAACATCTATTGCAAATATATGCACTTACGGTCGGCAGCAGACTACATCATTTGGACAGGTGACCAACTCTGACAGGGGGCATTCAAGAAAAAACACAGAAAATTGCTATGCTTATTTACACCCATACATGCACAGAGAAATTTAGCACAAAGTGCAAAAAGATCTGTGTTAGATTGCAGAGGCAAAGGAGCTTAGCAATTTTCAGTAGGTTCACGCTTCGAAACTAGCTGCACACGCTGATAAATGACCTGTTTTTAGTTTCAAAGAGACATGAGGGGTCCTTTATAAAGTCTGACCAAAGTTGTGGGGGCACATTGAGTTTACTGGGTGGGGCTGGATCCCCAGGTCCCGATCATAAAACCGACACTGCCTGCATTTGTTAATAAAACAAAGTATCTAATGTATGATCATGGCAGACGCATAAAGGAACTTATTACAGAAAAATAAACTGCAAGTGACAAAACGTGACACGGTTGTACTGCAATTTAAAACGTTACAGTCTCAAACTGTGTACTTCCATACATGTGGTAGATGTTGTACTGCATGCAGCGAGGCTCTCTAAGTGGTCCAAAACTTGTGTTTTCCTCATGCGCAGAAGTGACGGGACTACAAACCATCAAAGATTATCATCTGGTGACGCCAAAGCTAGCAAACACATTCCTAACAAGCATTATTTTTGGTGTTGTGGTCACAAACGCAGCAACAAAAACACCCATAACAGCCATTACAAAGCATAAGTACAGTAAAGCATATCAGGGCTGGAAATAGATGCCCCATTTTTATGTTTTCTACCTTTTTTTCATGCTTTTAACAACTGCTTCATACTTTTTTGATTACCGTGAAACCTAAAGCAACTGTAACACAGGTTAAGTATTGTGCTTCCTTGAACTCCCTCTGAGTTATTCATTTCCCCAAATTCCCTCTCGCCTTGCAGTCACATATGAAGCGAGTGTGTCTTAGTTTACCTATTAATCAGGCAGGTTTTCCCCACAGCCAGATCCCCCACCACGATGACCTTGGATATTTTAAATCTGCTGAGAAGAATAAGAGAAGCAGCAGCAAGTAAATAAGAGCCACATAAAGCAGATCGCATACAGCGGCTTCACACTGCGGCACTCACCCCACAGTGCCGGTCCGCTGCTCCTGACACGCAGTCTTTACTTTATTGTTGAAATCATTTTTAGTGTGGATGGCTGCCTCTTTTCGGAAACACTGAAGAGAGGAGGGCGGGATCGTGAAGATGTGAACTTTTCTAGAAAGATAAGCAGGCAACTGGGGTCACTGATTTTACCTGAGGGAGCTGAGCGATGACTCGGTCCCGTCGAACAGGAGGAAGGACGCTCATGGCTGAAATGCGGACGGACATGAGGCCTCAAGGAAAACAGCAGCTGGACAGAAAGACAGAGGGAGTGGTGTAAACAGTCTGCTGTTTATCTTTAAAGCCACCCAAGTTAAACTAAAAATCTACCGAGACAGAAACGGGTTTAGTTGACCGAGTATACAAGGCAAATTCTAACCAGCATTAAAGTCAATTTTTGGCATAAGCGCCTTTATTTTTCAACAATCTGAACTCTCTTAGGGAAGTTTTCTTGTCAATGCTTTAAGTAGTCTTTAGGGACAGTTCTCTAGGCTTCTTGAAGCATTCAAGGCTTTTCTTTGGGTGCTGGCTGCCTTTCACTCTGTTCTTTTGTCAACATGAACCCACACTGCTTCAGTAATGTTGAGATCCAGGCTCTCGAGAGGTGAAGCCATGATCTATAGTGTTCCATTGTGCGTTTCAAGATGTTACTACATTGTGGATGAATCTCTGTTGCTGTGTTAGTATTTCCATCAGCTTTAATATGATCGCCAACACCACTGGCTTGTCACTGATTTTCAGTTCAGTTCTTTTTGACAGCCACCTTTCCACTGAGACTATTTCTTTAGTGAACCACAGATCTCTCTCAGGTATTGATATTTTTATTTTTTAAGGAGGTGACTTTCAGATTCGGTTCATCTGCCGTAAATATCTTACTTCTACTTCTGTTGTGCTCTACGTAGATTTTCTTAAGCACACACGGCACACCATCCTGAGATACGCAACTTTTCAGCTAATAGTTCTTTAAGAATCACCTGGTTGGTGCAAGGCTGCTATTTTTTGTCTGTCAAGCTGTGTTATTTTTGATAACTTTCATAGATTCAGCTAACAAAGTGGCAACAAATAATCCTAATAACAAAGGGCTAAAAAGGTTTCTGTTATGTGTACACTCAACACTCGTTCATCCCTCGATTTAGGTGCCTTTTTGTGCTTGAATGATTCATAGGTCAGCGTAGAGTGACTTAAACACAAATATATTCCTGTGAAATTAAAGGACTGGACTGAAAATGGGTGAAAAGGCTTAAGAAAGACCACTTAAAAAGAACAAAAGTCACCTTGGAAGAAAAATATAAAGAGAATCAAAGGTGGCTCGAGTCTTTAGCACAAACTGTAGTTAACTAAAACTATTATGCTGATTATTATTAGAAATCCCCAATTTATTGTCTGTTGACCACGTCTGCACCGAAGTTCGGATAAGAAGGTAATAAAAACAAGTGCTTAATTAGCCGTAGCTTTCTGAATGTGCGATACATCAGCTCACGCAGTTTTTCCTCTAACTTCTTTCAGGTTTGTTTGTTTTCGTTTCCCAGGCTACCAGGACATAGACAGTACCACAATTAGCCAGCCTCTTTAAAATGTTATTTTCCTAGAAATAGACGCGACCATGTAGACAACAGCAACAGTTTGTAAAACCAGACAACTGTGATCGGCCCTGATCCCCTCAGTGCGTGGATCACATTTAATCCTATTGTTCATCAGAGCTTCACGAAAAGAGGAAGAACGCTGTTTTTATATAGTCTAACATATAGCGGAAACCTGAAGACTGAGCATCAAGTTGAAGGAGGAGCGCTGAAGTTACCCCCGAAGAAGAAAAACCGCAGGAGTTACTCAGAGTTAACTCCTGAAAAGCAGCAGCGGGTTTGGAGATGTTACGGGATACCTCAGAGTCTCCGGATGGTCCGCTCGGTCCTCTTTCCTCCTCTGTTCTGCTTGTATTCGTCCTCTAACAAAGACGCTCTTCACTGTAAATCAATTCAGCTCCATTGTTAACTATGAATGTGTGTGAAGATGAAACGGATGAGCGGAAGTTGTGGGGATCGGCAGACTGGCACCGCTGCAGCTGCTGACTCAGGTCCCTGGATTTAGTTTTTCCTCCCACATTTTTCCCTGCTCGCCCCCCTGCTGGAGGAAAGAGGAATGATCGGATATAAGGGGCTCTGTCACTTACATTGTTAACTTTGCTTGTTTGTTTTTCTTTGTTACACTTATGTGATTTTTTTTTTACTATAATAGAAACCATGTTTAAAGGTCACGATGCGGGAAATCCTTCTGCATGCACAACAACAGCCCAAAAACAAAAACTACTGTACATATCTTCTATTTCCATTTTATAATACCACCCACTTTCACCTAATTCCACGTAACTCGAGTATTGCTTACTTTTAATGTCTTAGTTTTTTCCCCACAAAGGAAAAAAACTATAACTTCCTGTCCTTCAATACTGACTCTTCTGCTACAGAGGGCGCCATAACACTCTTTTGAATATCTGTCTAGTTGTAAGCGCAATAAATAGTAGTTAAATTTCTAACAGACATAAATCACTTGCTTGCGTTATTATATTATGTCACATATAGCAGTGCAGGCCTACATACATACACAAACTTGCACATACTAGATTTGTCTTTACGATGCAGCGGCGTGTCTTATTAAAATATGAGGCAGGGATGAAAAAGTTATTGCTGATGTTTTTATGTATTTTTGTGTGTCTAATATCTTTGTTGATATTGGCAAATAGGCAGCATTTGTATGGAAAGGTTATACAGAAAATAAACAAACGCCTAATATCATAAGTAGTATCCTTATGATTCTCCATCACTGTTTTCTATATTCAATCCAGTCTTTTTTGATCTCTAGAAATATACTTACATAACTTTTATGTCATTTTTTTCTACTTTCCTCTTGGTTATATCTTTCTTGAATTTTTTTAAAATCTCAATCATAATTTTTACCTGGATAAATTAAGGATAATGTAATAGTCCCTTAGCCAAAAATTAATTGCATTAATTGCAATTCCAGCTTGTGATAAAAAATTATCTTCCTGGCACAAAATCGTTTCATATCATTCATAAGATTTATGTTTGACAGATTCTAATCTAACAATCGTTTTACAACAGTTTACATACCAGAAATCATTTTTTAAAATGTCAGCAAACTTTCAGTTAGTAAACAGATGACTTTTACAGGCAGGTTAGTTACTGTCAAATGGGTTCATTTTAATGAGTCATGCATTATTTCCAGCAACAGCAATGATATGTTTGCTCAGTAATAATAATAAAAAAGACATCCTATTGCTCGCTTACAGTGTTGGGAAGGTTACTTTTAAAATGTATTCCATTACAGAATACAGAATACATGCCCCAAAATGTATTCTGTAACCTATTCCGTTACGTT